CGGAGGAGGGCTTTCTCTGCGGTGGCGCCCAATCTATGGAATGCGCTCCCCAGAGAGGTCCGCCTGGCGCCGTCGTTATTTGTTTTTTGGCGCCAGGCGAAGACCTTTTTATTTAAACGTCATTTCAATTGTTAACAATATTTGCTTATTTATCTGGCCAGGGCGACTTCTTTTACATTGTTATTTATTTTATATTGCTAATTTTATATTGTTATTTTTGTATTTTATTGCATTTTATTGTGTTGTAAGCTGCCCCGAGGCTTCGGCAAGGGGCAGCATAGAAATGTTTTAATAAATAATAGATAGATAGATAGATAGATAGATAGATAACAGTTCTATATGGGAAGGGGCAATTCCTTCAATCAATCAAGCATTAACAATCTGCACAACAACAGGGCTAAATTCCAAATGTCAACTACAGTACCTCAGCCCCAGACCCTCTGTACCTGCATCTAGGGAGATACATTTCATTTCACCTCCATAGGTGCTCCCACTTCACTTTCAGTAACTTATAAAGATTTAATCTGACAAGTAGACTTCCTTATATGCTTAAGGTTATAACATGCATATAAGCAATTCCAGGCAAGTGTGAAGATGGCAGCTACCAAGTTATACTAGGTATGCAATGAAGATACAGTTTGAGGTATTTAAGCAAACAATTGAATTAGCATATTTGAATCACAAGGTATCTTTTGAGTATAATGATTGTTCATATAAATATGCTACAACATCAGGGTTTCCATCTCCTGTAATTGGAGCTGTAATCTCTCTCTCTCTCTCCCTCTCTTTCTCTCTCTCTCTCTCTCTCTCTCTCTCTGACATAACACTCATATTTTCAAGAAAAAAGTTGTCTCAATTAAGGCTATTAGGAGAAACTGAGTATCCCTGATAAATGACATGCTAGGAAATGGATGCAGCAGGGAAGTGTGTGAACCTGACAGCTGTCCTGGCCATTCCAATGCTTTTGATATCCTTCTCTAGAGAACCTCAGGTGGGGAATGCTGAGTTTCTTTGTTTCTGCTGTACTTCTCAAAGCCAAAGGGTGGTCGTTTCTCTTTGGGATCAAGAGAATAGGATTCATGGTAGAGCCCCACCTGTATATTTCTCCTTATCCACCTCCATGCCTGCTCCATCAGTTCAATCCTTGTTTACTTTAACCAGAGTTTACTGTTACCCAGTCAAAATTAGGGAATCTAGCTTAATTTTAGCTCAATTACAGGATATCAAATATAGACCAAAACATGGTTTAAGATCTTAATAAATAAAATTAATTCTATATTTTTAACATAATGTGGAACCCATGGTTAAAGCAAATAGGAATTGACACAGCAAAGCCACTACACAAGAGAAAGAAGAGAGGGAGAAGGTGCTCACTCATGATATGAAATGCTCATGATATGAAATGCTAATGCTTCCAAGAAAGTTTTCAAATTACAAGCCCAAGAACTGAACTTCCTTCCTGAGTTATTTCCAACACCAACAATCTGCTAAATGAAAGTCTGTACTTATTAATGGTAGCTAAACAAAATAATGCTGTTCCTGTTTGAAACTGTGAAATACCTAAAATGGAAATGCACTTTCTCTGGTGACCAAGCAGTATGCACATTTAAGTAAAATTTGTTACATGGTAATGAAGTATTTGTACAAGTAGATGAAATATTAAAGGGGAATATTGTGCAGCCTCAGCACACAAGACTTAAATAAGACTATAAATCACATATGGTTTCTACTACATTCATAATCATATACATCAATAACTATACTCATTAGTTTTTTAGTCATAGACTAGCATACACTTAATGTGCAGTAGTTAAAATGTAAATCTGAAACAGTTAATTAAAAAATAATAATCAAGAATCTAAGGTTTTCTATAGGAACAATCCTCCATCAGAGACTTCCAGAGCTAATCACTGTTTTGGGATTTGAACAGAGCCATTTTTATTAGTCCTGTTGAATTCCCACTAATTAACTCCTAGCAGGGCAGAGGATCAGGCATTTTTTTTCAAAAAAGAGAACAATTAAGCAACACTTCTTTTTGTCACATACTCATCTATTTCTGTACTTTCCACAGTCCCACAAGACCCTGACAAATTCATTCTTCAGGCATGCAAAATTATAAGCTGAAATGAAAATTTTCCGCTAATGCAAACTCCCACTGGATTCAAGGTACCCTTTCAAATGCCACCATCAACTGATATCAGTTTAACTCTGTGTTTTCAAACATTTTCCCAGTGAATATGGATCGGTATCTGGGTGATGGTGCCCTTCATATAAAGCTATAGTCGTATGTGATGTGCTGTGACCCTATCCATCTGCTTATTATGTGTTAACAGCACAAATATATGAATAGTGTATATTGTGCAGTTCCTGGGCATCCCAGGAAAGACAAACATATCCTGCACATGGCACTGAAATATTCATCCAACACAAAAAGCCACAGTGGCTTATAGGCCAGGGATGGCTTCTTCTGTTTTCAGTAAAATGGTTTGTTAAACATACAAAGAAGACTCTATAACATGGGTCCTCAAACTAAGGCCTGGAGGCCGGATCTGGTCTGCCATGACCATTAATTCAGCCCACCTCAGAGGTGTTCAATGTGCCACGTGCACGGCATGTGCCCCTGCTGCCTGCCTCGTCCCCCGTGCGGGGAGGCGGTGGCAGCTTACTCATGAGGAGATCATTTTGGACTCACTCGGAGAAAACGATCTCCAAGCGAGCAAGCCGCTACATCGTGCACCTGCTGCTGCATCGCGGTGCATGCCCACCCCCACCTTTCCTCTGCTTCCCTTGCCACCCTCGTCCGCCCATGTGCCCTGCCCCCCGCCTCAGCGTGTGCGCTCCGCTCCCGCGCCGGCCCACGCACCCCACCGGCACCACCTTTCCAGCCCATGCCGGCATCTCTCAACTGGGCCCCTTGTGAAAAAGTTTGAGGACCCCTGCTTTATAACATCGAATGAAACCAGACACAGACACGGGACCCAGATGAGCAGGGCTGCATTACGGAAAAGTGATACAAATATGCCTAGCTAGGTACAAATAGCATCAAAAAATCTCTGGTTGCCAGGTTAGAGAACAAATTGCCACTACCATTGCAATATTATTGGGAAAGTGTCAGATGACATCCCTTTGCCACAAAACATGGAAGTTCTTAATTTAAGGGAGTACTTGCTTTTCTGTTGCTTTAAAACCCTATTCAGGCAGATCATTGGTATTCTATTAGACAAAGAGATGCCTTTGGACAGCATGCTCAAGTACTCAAGTCACAAATTCAATATACACTATCCATCAAGTACAGGAAAGGGAAAGGGAAAGGGAAAGGGAAAGGGAAAGGGAAGCTATGCAAAAGTGAATGGATAAGCAAATATAAACCTAACGTTAGCAATCAGTGTTTACAGGGCTTTTTTTGTCATAGAATGCACCGAAACAGCGTTCCAGCATCTTTTTTTCCAATGGATTTTACGAAGTGATTTTGAACTGCATTATCAGCAGCAAACATCATTAACATAGTGCCTGTGGGCTGCTTTTGTGTCTGCTATCTAATAGTGAGATAGTGAGGGCGCTGCTCAGCTTGGGATGCCGCTGCTCGGCTTGGGATTGGTGTGTGTGGTCGCGTGCTGAGTGCTTGCTGACGGCGACGTGAGTTCTGGCACCTTTTTTTTTTTTTTTTTACAAAAAAAGCACTGAGTGTTTAAAAAATGAAGGAGTAACTGGAAGATCTGGAGAAGGAAATGGCAACCACTCCAGTACCTTTGCCATGAAAACCCCATGGACAGTACCAAAAGGCAAAAAGATATGACGCCGGAATATGAGCCCCTCAGGTCGGAAGGTGTCCAATATGCTACTGGGGAAGAGCAGAGGGCTAGTACTAGTAGCGCCAGAGAGAATGAAGCAACTGGGTCAAAGCTGAAAGGACACTCAATTGCTGATGTATCTGGTGGCGAAAGGAGAGTCCGATGCTGCAAAGATCTATACTCCATAGGAACCTGGCATGTAAGATCCATGAATCAAGGCAAGCTGGATGTGGTCAACAAGAGATGACAAGACTGACATCTTAGGAATCAGTGAACTAAAATGGACAGGAATGGGTAAATTTAATTCAGATGACCATCAGGTATACTACTGCGGGCAAGAATCCCTCAGAAGAAATGGAGTAGCCTTCATAGTCAATAAAAGAGTAGGAAAAGCAGTACTGGGATACAATCTCTAAAATGACAGAATGATCTCAGTTCGAATCCAAGGCAAACCATTCAACATCACAATTGTCCAAGTCTATGCCCCAACCACTGGTGCTGAAAGGGCTGAAGTTG